ATGGACGAGGAACCCTCCAAATCTCCGGTGAAACCCGCCGCCGCCGCCGATTCCGAGACTGAATTGTTTGTAAGCTCGTATCTCGTTAAATCTATCGCAAGGCACGGTCTTGATGAAGACTATGTGAAACAGAAATGGAGATCGGCTCCGGTGGAGGATAAGAAGAGAATTGAGGAGATGTACAAGCTCTTACGCGCAAAAGAGGTAGAGTATGTGCTCTTCAAGACTCAGTTTTTGAACGAGGTCCTTCCTATGATTTTCAAATTTTCTTAAGAACAATTCGGTTTTAGTTATAATACGTTTATCGGCTTATCTTAGTTTTCTGGTTGCTCTTATGTTTTCGGATTGTTAGACTCTATTTTCGTGCAAGTAATTTTGGTATTTAGCTACAATATTGTTTCAATGTTACTCTGAAAAACATGATTCGGATCTTAGTAAGGTATGTTGAATCAAATGTTGTTTCTTCTAGACAAATATTGTTGAATGAGTCATTAAGTTGCAGAGCATGAGGCTTTGTTTTGAAAAGTATCATTACATTGTTATAGTTTATTTGATACGATATAAAATCACAAACAATAGACATGTGTGTTCATCGGACTTTATGATACTGGGAAGACCACATAGACGTGTGTTCATCGGACTCATGACAGGGTCTCGACTAATTTAAACATTCAAGGAAAGCTTTTGAGCTGCAAGTGCTTCTTGGCTCCCAGAGGAGTGTGGTCTCTGCCAAAAGTCCGGTCACAATGTATGGGTCCATGTTTGATGCTGGACGCCGGTCTTCCAAGTAACCTATAATTCCATTTCACAACAATATACATGTTAGCAATATATAGCATATCAAGAGATCTGTGTTACCGTTCCGGAATCAGTACCTTTTCCTTTCTTCTCGGTATCATGCCCCACACGAATCGAGCATCCACGATTAGCAACACCCTGCCAAGTTGAAGTTCAAAGCTAATGAGCAGAGGGACACACAATACTGAAATAGAGACTTGAAGTATATATCTTATATGCTGTTTACATATATAAAATTACTTTGTTCATTGTTTTTTTTTGTCACAAAAATTACCTTGTTCATTTAATTAAGGTATTTAATCATCAGAAGCAAATTTTTGTAAGATACAAATTTTTTGTTGGTTCTATGAGAGCAAAGCAATATCACATTCCCCAAAAGCAAAGGAAAATAGATCACACGCTGTAACAAAATGAATAATAATTTAGTACCAAAAACAAAAGAGAACCCCAACTTGCAAAATTACACCAAAAATATCAAAAGAAAAAAGAAACACAAGACACACACACCCATATACAAAATGAACAATAATGAATATTAACCCCTAAGAAGACACGAGAAAACCAATGAACCATGAGCACAAGTGGCTCGTTAGGTGTTTGTGTCGATAGGGGCACCGTTTCTAGCCTGCGAGATCCGGTTTGCGTAGATGGTCACTAAGCGAACCTGTGTGCTATTTAGACCTTCCAAATACGGCATGAACGCTTTCCCAAGCATTATATATATGTCTACCAAACAGAACACCACTGTCTGCAACAAACACAAATCCCAAAAGAGCTCAGAGACATATTCATCCGATTTCATAAAATCTTCAGAATCCAAAAAACACGATTTTGTTTTACCTTGCGGACATCTGCGCTCGGGTTCCCAAATGCTTCAAAAACCGCAGGTAAAAAAGAAGGCAATTGATCCATTAGTTCCTCTTGCGAGAGCCTACTCACAAGCTGTACACAAGAAGCAATGTGTCTGTTTCAGCATGTATCTATCTGCAACTTTGTACTAACAACCTCCGAAAAAGAATGAATAAATTTTACCTTAGTTAAACAATTGACGCAAGCAACGAGAGTTTTCTCATCCTCTGTTACCAATAATGGGACAATAACCTGAAACAGAATCATCACTTAT